CTCACTCCCTCTTGTACCCCAATTCCCCAGAACAGTGAAAATGAGCAAGGGCGTGAGTGTCGGGGAGAGCGGAAGGGGGGATGGAGTGAACGGGTGGGGCCTCAGAAGGGGCAGAGTGGGGGCAGGGCCTAGGGGAAGAGGCGGGGCAAGGGTGTTCAGTTTTGTGCGATTAGAAAGTTGGTAAGTAACCCTAGCCTTCACTGCTTACAGAAGTGCCCACCTTTGGGCCTAGTCCAATGACTGATCCAGTTGCTGGCTTAGACCAGTCCAGGTTATGTTCCACCCTGCCCCATTTGGTTCTGTGTACCAATGCCAATCACAGGTCAGACCAGATGATTCTGCTCACTGCCTCAAGATGCTGCTTCTAATACTCTACCTGTAACAACATGGAACAACTAGAAAGGTCTATGGGCTGTCTGCCTGCAGTCATGTAATTCAGAAAGGGAATTGCTGGATTCCTCTTCCACTGGGGAAGAGAAGTGCAAAGGGAAAGGTCTGTCTGTGTGCCTGCCTGAAAGGACTTGGGGCTGACACTGAGTTTTTCTTGGGCTGACAGCCTCTCTTCACTCACTCACTCACAATGTGGACAGTAGCTTTGCCCCAACTTAGCCTAAATATTTCTATCTCTGGCAATAAAAGCTAGTACTTTCAGTTTCCTGAATTGGACTCATACTGATTGCAGTTACAAATGCATGCAGAGATGAGTTACCTAGGTGCTCTCCCCTACTCTGAAAACATTGACTGGCCAAAACAATATTATAAACGAAAGTGTAGATCAACCTGGGAATATATTCAGTCCTCTTGGGATTGCTATATATCTGTGCATTAAAGCAATTGAGGCAACAAAATATTTTTATAGTGCTACTGGAAGATTTTAATGTTAATCATATAAACAATTATTATTTCAGACTGTTTTTAATGCAGGCAGCCTTAAATTCAACTTTTATGATTTAAATGGTTCTAAAATAAATATGAGAAAGGAGTGTACTCAGAAGACAATTAGAAAAATATTTCAGAGGCCTGATTTTTCATCTAATACCAGTGTTTACAACAATGAAACCTAATAGAGTTGCACCTGTTTCCCTGTGGTGTGTAAGAAAAATCAGCACCCTGAAATCCCTTCTATTCGCTCTGCCACTGGCTTATTGTACTGGGCAAGTCACCACACTTCTGTACCTGTTTCTCCATCTGTAAAGTGAGTATAAATTATTGTTAATTTATCCCAGAGGGTTTGTGAGAAACTTTTGCAAAGTGTATTGAAAATCTGTAGATGAATGGTTCTTCAATACTGTACTATTAAAATTTAAATAAAGCTTTCACTAAAGTAAAACAAACAACTTTTTCTCTTGGCTTAGGGATCGCTGTCTGGCTGCCTAACTGGTGCAAAGAATGTGGTTTATTTTAAAAAAATATTTGCATGGAAAATGGTTTGGTTGATGTGCCTGCGCTAGAGCAGTTGTTTAGCGCTTATAGGGTGCTTGTGCTAGAATAAGATGAATACAAAATATACTTCCTATGAAAACATAGAGCAGAGGTATTCAGCCTAGAGCTAGACAGGAAGAACTTAGGGCAACACTCTTTCTTACCCCTGCAGCAGGGCACCCCTGGGTCACACTGTTAAGCTTTTATCCAGCAGAGTCAAGGGAAGACCCTCACATAATTCCCTCTGCTTCACGAAAAACAGACTAGGGCAGAGCCTGAACTAGTCAGCACTCACCCTGCCCTTGGCAAAGGTAAGGTAGCCAGAGCCTGTGGTGGCCTCGCCCTGCCTGCCCGTTCTCCTCCTCCACAGGGGGAGAAGGCCCAAACGCCCTCTAGTCCCTCCCTGCGTCCCGTCGTCTGAGTCACTCCCTTCTTCGTTCCCGCCTGTTCTGCTAGTAAGGACAGTACTGCACATGCCCTCCCTATCGGCCTGAAACGCGTTCATAGTCTTAATACGCATGCGCCTAGTCCTGAGGTGGGAGGGACTGGGGAAGGAGCCCAGCGGCTCCGCGAGCACTG